TTAGATATATATATATATATAATCACTTTCTGACCTATCCGAAGAAACTATTCGTTTTCGATTAATCCAAACTTATTGTCAGTGTTTTTTTTTTAACAGCGCAAGCCTACATCACGCTGTTATTTTACCTATTTTTTTTTTCTTTTTTGTATACCCCGTGGTAAACAATGGTCTATCATGGATTTGAAAACAGCGAGGCCACGGCGTTTGTTTAACTTTTATCGGATGCGAACGAAACGAGGTCCCACAGGCAACACTCTCGTTTAATATATGTATACGTGTTCATGTATCTATATGTATATATATATATGTATATATATGTATATATTTCGTATATATTTCGCCACGCGAATATAAATGCAGTATGATCCGCGGCTAAAAGTTCAAAAAATTCAGATGAAAATCTCTTTCGGAATCAGCAGGAATAAATGAACGTGTGTGTACGATGGGAAGCATTAAACAAAAGCGATGACATGCTCGTATAAAACTATGAGTGATCGTACGTATGTACGAAATGATAGGAATATTTTCAACATGATTTTCAAATTAAAATTGTCGAGAAGGTGATGACGAACGTGAACAGAAAAAAATTAAAAGATTAAAAAGATAAAAAAAAAAAAAACAGTAATTTATCTCGGCCAAATTATGCAGAAATATACGAACCATCGAAATAATCAAAAATTATTTAAACATAATAAGGAACCCTATAATTTTATATAATCTTTCACTAAAAAAATATAATTAAAGAGACAATTTCAAATAATATTAATTATATTATTCACACTGTGTTTTAAAGCGAGTCATTTACAAAGCAATGGGAAATAAGAATAACAAGTGAAACATGTAATAGAAATAAAACTACTTTTTCTTTTAAATTGCTATCTCCAAACTAAATTTATTCAATTTCAGACCACTGAGGATTAGAAGTTTGTAGCATAACTTGGCCGCGAATTGATAATGTGAAATTAAAATTCTTCTCTAAGTTGTTTCATTTAGAATACGCCCGATGTATCTCTATTAATTATTCTATGAAATAAAAAATAATATATATATATACATATATACAACTTGGAAATCAAACATTTATATGATACATAGTTATAGATATCTACATTTTTATAACATTATTTCATTTTGTCGGCACAAAATGAATGATTACTTCGATAATCGAAGTTATATTCTTTTAATAAAAGATAAATATAATATTATAACATTCATACACACACATTCTACGTATACAATTATTTTATAGACACGAAAACAAATAATAATAGACTTATAAAAAAGATATATCAATATTTCATTGAAATGTTATCATCGTTTTACCACCCACAATATTTCGCGTAGTACGTTCTCATCCAACAACAAACTTAATCGCGAGTATTAAAATAGTAGAAATAAATAAATAAATAAATGATCGATTAAATACCACCGTGGAAAAGTAAAAAATGACAAAAAAAAAAAAAAAGGAGAAGAGTAAAATCCAGGATCATAGCGAACGCTTAATATTCGATCATTACGTATCGCACTTCACCCCATAACGATGTCATAACCTATAACCCCCTATATAGTTATATCGTTCGTACGATTAATATCCCAGACCCGTTATCGTCGAACGCGTGATCATCCCGAGCGATCCAACTTGTACGACTCTCGAAACAATATCTCTCGCTTGGAGGCCCTCGTAAATTTGTCGGAATCACCGATAGCCCATAGCCCATGGTACGAAACTTATGTGTGAGTGAACTTACTCTTACCTAAAAACTCTATCTTACCGAGAGAAAGAAAACTCTGTGAAAAAGAGAGAGAGAGAGAGATGAATAAAATGGAATAAAACGATAAAGGGTGGAAAAACAGAAAGAAAAAGAAAAAAAGAAAGTAAGTAAGTAAGTAAGAGAGAGAGAAACGAATTGTATCGGTTCTGCAGCTTTTTCCCGGAAACGAAAGATGCTCGTTTTCTATTGGACGTTATTATTGCGCGCACGCTCACGCTTATATATATATATATATATATATATATAACTTGAAGTAAAGGTGAAGAAGGAGACATTGACGAAGAAGTTAACAAAAGTAATATAGAAAATAAAAATGAAAAAAAATGAAGGGGGTAAAAAATAAAAAGGGGGAAAAAAAATAAGGCTAAGAACGAGGATCGTTTCTACAAATGGCTATAGAGGAATAAGAGTCTACAGGGAGAGAGAAAGAAAGAAAGAAAGAAAGAAAGAAAGAAAGAGAAAGAGAGAATGCATCGAGGCCGTGTCCAAGTCCCAATGCTATCTTTAGACGACGCTTGGGACAACGCGCGGCATAGATGTCGATCAATTATTTCTCTACCTTCCTCGCTTTTCTGCGACGAAGCGTTCACCTTACCTCACCTCACCTCTCCGCTCTCTTCCACTCTCCTTGTCTTTCTCTATACGCGTATAAAGAAAAAGACAGAGAGAAAAGTTCGACGATTCCGCTCGTAAATTATTCATTGGCTCCGCCGTTTTTGTTCCTCACTCGGATAGAAGAAGATATTTTTACTTGGTGGCACCGATAAACCCTTGCACCAACCAGCCATCGAGAAACTCGCATGGACGTTCTATGATCGCGTTTACGACTACCGACTACGTGGAAATAAACTTAAGACTACGGTAATAACGATCGAACTACTATCGACGATCCTAGCAAATTATTGAGATCACAGTACGAGTATATGCACTTCGATTTCTCTTATATTACTTCTTTTTTTTTTTTTTTTTATGTTTCTATTTCTCTATCCCTTTTTTTCCCCCTTTCTCCACCACCCCCGTCTTTTCTTTCGTTTGATTTGTGAACAAAAGCTCGATTTACAAATTCAAAGTAATATTTATACGAATTTATTATATATACTAAGTATCTATTTATAATACTAACAGTTTCTGCAATAATATAGGTAATAATGATTACTTATATCAAATATACTGATATTTTGTTATAATTATTAAACAAAAATATTGAAAAATATCGATCCTATAAATGACACACAGCCAGTTTAATGTAATATTATTACTTAATTTTTGATGATAAAGTTTCGAAAAAAAGAAATGTATGTCTGCTTAAATAAAAAAGACGCTGAGCTTTAATGATTAAGTTGCTGAAGAAGTCCCAATAAAGGGACGAAACGTCCAACTCAATTAAATTAAGTTCTACTTCTTTTCATGTCCAAGTTCCCTATGAAACTTTATCATCAAAAATTATAATTTTGAACGAGAGAAAATACTAAATTATTACTTAATATTTTCTTTTTCAGATAGAAATAAAATATTAAATAATATCGTAGATATTTCTTTAATAGTATTTCAAATACAATGATTAGGAATAAATCAAGACTGTTTCATAAATTTTCTCGCAGAATCTATCAGCCAAAACATGTGACATTTATTATTTCTTTCGATTCGACAAAGATAAGAAACTAACAAAACTCGTTTATTATGAATTCAAATGAACATTAAATCAACTATCATTCATTTTTTTAAATTTCCTTATCTACAATTCCTATGCAAGACGTTCAACAACCTGAAAGATAATTGGTTCATCTTTACTATTAAAGGGTTGAATTCTTCAACATATACCATAAATATTCCCTTTAAGTTTCTCGACAGAAAAAAAAAAGAATACGAGATTACTATTGGACCAATTTATAATACAAATGCGACAAAAATATGTAAACGTGTATTAAAAAATATGTATAGACACATTTATTAGATGCATGCATAAATTCTATATGCATATAAGTATATATACATACGCGTGAATATTACATACGTAGATAGATAAATAGATAGGTAGACAGATAGATAGAAACATACGTTGGAAATCTAGAGTGAGAAATTGCGAGAATTCTAGCTAACGGACTTTCACGTCCCGTCACTCTATAAAGGGTTAACTCGGTTACGATCCCGAGAGAGAGAAAGAACGAATGAACTCTTCTACTACTCGGAAATCTCGAGATGTTCATTCCAAGTAAAAGAAAGAAAGAAAGAAAAAAAGAAAAGAAAAAAAAAAAAGAAAAAGATGCCCGCAAGAACCATTCGATCGAGAATTCGTTTCGTAGATCGACCAATCATTTCGAGGTAAAATTACATCCGGAGAATGAAATTTGTTCTTACGCGTAAAGTTCATGGCTGCCGGTGTATCTACTTTATCTATCTAACAATAACGTAAGACGAATGAAATTTATTGAATTACTTGGAAGATTCGATCGGAAAAAAGCTTTTCGACATAACCCGTACTCCTCTCTCTCGGAAATGAAAAACTTCTTTAGCAACCACAAAGCTAAAGGAGCACGTAATTAGCCGACTCATAAATCGATAAGTTCTACTTCGCCTTACGTGTCCGGTGTTAATCTCACTTTTAATCAAACCGCGATTCTACTTCGATATATGCATGTATTTATGTGTGTGTATTTAAGTACGTAATATTTTTACTTTTAACCTTACATTAGTTATAATACTCGGCGTAAGTTAAGAATCAAAACGATCTACTTTAAATATGGTGGTTACTTTCTTCAAATTTATCTTTAGATTTTTAATCTCACGTTACAGACTATTATTTACATATCTAACTATTTACGTACTTACATACCTTTCCGCGCTAATTTATATTTAGCCGGTAGTATATTCTCCGGTACTTAATTCCACAGAAAATGCAATTAATTAAATTACGAGCTTTGAACGTCGGCATACTCTCATTGCATATCGCCAATTAACTTGAAAGATTCATAGGTGCCGATGAAATTACTGCTGTGCTTGCTGTGTGTTAAAGGATCAAAACGTTTTCCCTCCTAATATTCTATTTTATGCGCTATCTCGAACAAAAGTGCAGTTATAGTGGAAAATGTATACGATCGTACTATAAATGATAGGAATCTCTTATTATATAACAACTACCATTATCCGATAACTCAATTAAATTTCTTTGAAAAACATACTTTGTAAGTATATAAAAATACTAATGATAAATCATTATGCATTTACCTTTCGCCGTAAGAGCGAATATTGTGAGGATGAGGAACGGCGTCGTCGTCCCGACGCACGGCATCTTCGATGGTATCCAAAGGGTCCTTTATTTGTAACGACGACCTTATCGTCTTTCCAACAAACAAATTGCAATGTTGCAAGCAAGCTCTTCGTTCAAGTATCATACGCACTGGATCGTCGAGATGATAACAAAAAAAAAAAAAAGAAACTTACCGAAAGAAAAATTAATATAAACAACGATCTTTCACAAGTCGCACCACAAAATTCTTTAATCGGAGAATTAAAAAGCACAAGGTGTGTATGCACGAGCTCGGAAAAAAAAAATAACAAAAAAAAAAAAATCTCCCCCCCGAAAAAAAGGAGAAAAAGAATAAACTCTTTTTCGTAAACAAAAACACTGTTTAATATCTTATTCTCTTTCTTTCTTTCTTTCTTTCTTTCTTTATTAACTTCTCACCGAGTAATACGAAGAAAGAACTAAAAGGTCAAGGAACTAGCGGGAGACGTTGTTCAGCGAGAAGGCCCTTCGTCCTTCGTAACTCTTCTATCTTTCTTCTTTTCTTCCTTCTTTACCAACACGTAGGATAACAACACACACTCCTACAAGGCAAAACGATCGACCGCTTCGATCGGTCGATTAACGGGATTTCCATCGTTATCTTTCGAGTCCGGAACTATTTTTGAACGGTTCATAATCCGATCGATTTGTTTCGCCGGCTTTCGCGACGGTATGTCACACACGGCATTCTCGGGAACGTTTGCTATGACAAAAGTCAACTAGAAATCATCGACTATCGATTGCGATTTTTACCGAGGTTCCTATATATATATATATATATATATATGAATTTATCGACGATCGATCTAACTCTTTTACACGTTTCGAGTCTATCTTATTCTAACTATAAACTAATAACACTCTAACGCATGATGCGCTTGGATTTTTTTCCTTTTCTTATTGCATTCGTACTTAACATAGTTCTTTTTTTATCGTCAAAGAAAAACGTCTTATAAAACTCGTTAAAAATCTTATCAGAGTTTTCACTCGATGTTTTTTATTTAAGAGTAAACTACATGCATGACGTTCACTTTCCATACGAAAAGTCCACCATAAGTTGCGTTATATACATGACCGATCGTAGAACACGTAACGATTCGTGTCATCGTAAGAAAAAATATCAAGAATAACAAAAAAAAAAAAAAGAACTGCCGAAAGGGTTAATATGATGGAAACGTTTCATACGAAAAAAGCAAAACGACCTATCTTCGCGACGCGACGGTCGATTCGCGACTGATGCAGCGATTCCCAAACGGTGCCACGCGCGACTTCGGCCAAACTCGACTATACTCGGATGACATCGGTCACGAAGACTTCGGCTACGCTTGCGCCTACGCCCGGCGTCTCGTTTCTCTCACTCTCTCCCATTGGTTTAGCCCGGTCTATGCTTTGCGCCTACCTATTCCCTCCATACTTTTCTACCTTTTATCTTTTTTCTCTCTCTTTCTCAAAGCCACGGTATACACACAGACGAATACGCATACACGTATGCATTATTTTCTCTTTCTCTCGAGAGTCATCGCTCTCTCATGCACCAAGAACAACGCCAATCCACTTTTACTGTCTCTTCTATACTAATCACACACATATACAAACGGACGCATAACCCATACATCCAGACGCTTATATCCATGGTGGTGGCTCCCCTGTGCCGACGGTCAGCCATCGCGCGCGTTACACCCCCACCACTATACCAACACCATACAACCACCATCATCGGTTGTTGCCGTTGCAAGCGGGGACTCTCTTTGGATTTGAACGGCCGCCGCTCGATTCGTCCACGCGGCCACCACGACGACTGATGAGCGTTCCTTGCATCCGAAAATGTGGAAGCGTTACTGCAACATGCACAACCGCGAATATTACGTTCTTCGTGCTTAGTTAACTACGAACTCTACGACGAAATACCTCCAGGCGATAGGAGCACCGGATGTTTCGCGTCGCGTTCCGCCTTCTATTTGCTCCTCACACGTGCACACACATACATGCATCAACGTATGCAAGAGTACTTTGCTTCTTTACGTTTCGACGGTTCCTCTTTCTCTATATGTCTTTGTCTCTTAATCCAGTTTCACATTCCCTTTTGATGTTACACAGTCGATTCGTTTTCCCTTACCAGGGGATGATCAGATTTTTTTCAAATTTTACATACATGTAATAGTTCACGCGAAAATTCAAGTCTTTAAAGATGACGTATATATAAAAGTATGTTTTCTTTTTCTTTTCTAATTCCTTTTTTTCATTATTACGAAATAAGCTTAATAAATTTTCTTTTGTTTTTCTGTTTCTCTGTACTATTTGATAATAATTTGTATGGAGAATATAATTAAAGAAAAGGGTGCATTTTCCCAAATATTTAGAGCAATATTAGTTACAAAATTTTAATTAATTATAAATCATATGTAGTATTTATATGTGTGCCTTCAGAAAC